TTATTGCGAGATAAAGTTAGCGTCCTGTTTGGTCAAAATTCCATCCTTTGGTGGGGAAGCTATTATTAAAAGAGGGTCAATTTTCGCGCATTTTGACGTCATTCTGAGTTTGTTTTTTTTCAGTCCAAATCCGTGAATTTTGTTTTGCTAAGTCCTGAAAAGAAAAAACACTATACAAAATTCATTTTTTTTTTATGGATAATGTCGAATGTGTTAAAATTCTTCAACTTTTTAACAAGAAAAATCTCAAGTTGATGTTAAAAATTGCCGCAAAACATTGTTGATTTATTTAAGATGAGATGATCTATTATGACATGTCTCTAATTTGTATTTAGATACATTGGATTTATTTTCAATTTTTCTAGTTGAATTGTTCACCTATATTGCGTATGATCCATTATTGAACATAATTAGATTATAATAAATTTTGTATTTTATATGAATAGTACCTTATGAAAATTAAGATGTAGTCGAGTGGGAGTCACCATATCATAGATTGGGGGGGTATCATAAATTCGGGGGGAAACCAGACCATTGCACCGGTCCTGATTTAGTACGGTGGGGACTATTAGTAAATTTTAAAAAAATCTTTCCTTTTTAGATTTTCAATGCTTTTATAAAAGGTCATGAATTAAATTCTCCCAGATACCAACTAATATACGAGTAATTTGCCAAATATTTCTAGTACAAAATAATTTTCACTGAATTTCTCTCCATATAGTATTTGCCGTGTCATCATATACTCAGTGAATATCAACGAGAGAGACTAAGCACTCAGGGAAGATATTTCACACCCGAGGAGAATATTGACAGGATATCTACCAACCGCCCCACGCGGTCAGATGTGGCACAAGGCTGAATTTAATGTGGGGTATTCGAGCTAAAAATTCCCCGTATAACACCGTATAAAACGGTGTCGGGTAGCTGTTGCCCGAGACGAGACTCGGCCATTCGACATAGCCTCGTCTGGGGATCCTCTCTGCCCGGACAGAGAGTTTGACCAGCACAACTGGAGACGAATCTCCAATTGCACGATATCTACAGACCGCCGCACGCGGTCACATGTGGCACAAGGCCGAATTTAATGTGGGGTATCCGAAACTGGAAGCTCGGCCAAAAATTCGCGATTGGGTCGCTGTTTCCCGAGACGAGACTCTGCCCTTCGACATAGCCACGTCTGGGGATCCTCTCGGCCCGGAGGCAGAAAGCCTGACCAGCACTCCTGGAGACGAATCTCCGACTACAGGAGAATATTGACAGTGTATGAAAGGTTTAGTTGCGTTTGTTTAGTAGACCCTACTGGTGATATAAGACCTTAACCTTCACAGCGTGTTGTTGATTTTCTTGTAAACACCGTTTAATCCAGTGTCAGTCTTTAGTGTCACCAAATATGCGAGAATACCTCGTCTCAAATATCTGCAAAGGATCAAACGAAATTCGTTACTGTTTTTGTTTTTATTATTTGTTTTCAAAACAGACGGTTATCATGCCACAAGACGAGTAAAATGCCACGCCCCGCTAAGTTTTATCAGTTACTAAATAACTTGCGCCTAAATTACAAGCGAATACTTACGAAACGTATTATATAACGAAATAGACATTTACTAAAATCGGATTGATCTCCTCGTTGTGAAATAATCGTTAACAGGCTGTATGGATGCTATGTGAGTTACATAGCAAGAAGCTTTCGATATCAAAATTCATAATAATGTTCGAGGTCGTAATTCCAAGGGTAAATAAAAAAATTAAAAAAAGTTAAAAAAAAATGTTACATCACAAATTGCATAGTACAGGGTGATCCGAAAGTCTTGTTAACCACTAGCAAAAAAGTAACGAGAACAATAGAACAAGTAATCCATTTAATACAAAGTAAATGTACTGGATTCAGTTTATTCAATTCAATTGACGCTGCCACACATCAAGAACGTCTGTATAAACGCCATCATTTTCGTGTCAGACATGTGAAATAGAGAATTATATTATGTATGGGTGACAAGACTTTCGGACCACCCTTTAAAAAAAATTCTGTCTTAATTTTCAAAGAAAATAGGTATCTGAAGTCCAGATGTGGTTAATACTCTTTCTATGGGGCGGCCCGAAAGTTTTGTCGCCCCCACCTTCATTGCGGTCGATATATCTTTTGTTTGAATATTTTTCATTATAATCTACAGGGTGGTCTGAAAGTATTGTCACCCCCTACCAAAAAGTGATGAGTACAATAGTAACACAGTAATTCAAAGCCCATGTACTGGATTCAGTTTATTCACTTTTATTGACGCTGTCACACATCGAGAAGGTCTGTATAAACGCCTTCATTTTCGTGTCAGCCAACTGAAATAGAGAATTATATTATGTACGGGTGACAAGACTTTCGGACCACATTTTATAACTACCTTACAAGAGGTTAAGAATCCTTTGGACCAAAGTAGCTTAAATTTGAAATATTTTATACACATTTGCCCTCTCCTGTCGTGAAAGATATTTTATTTAATGTGTTCCTTTAGTATAGGATTAGCTTCTATGCATGACGTCACTTATACGATACACGTATGTTAGAATTTTAAGTGTAGCTTCCGTTTGTTTCTGAGCTAGACTAGTTACCAACCAAGGCTGTAGGTCTCAGTCTGTCCTGCTATTGGAAGGAAAAGAGATAGATTCGCACCTTTCCCAAGGAAATTTGCGCGTAAGTGAATTTAACGAATCCGACTGGAATTCGAACTCTACACTCCGATTTCTCATCCCGACCCGTTATCTATTACTCTACACTGTGCCTTGGAGGAAATAAATAAATAAAGAAAGAAAGAAAGAAAGAAAGAAAGAAAGAAATAAATAAATAAATAAATAAAGAAATAAAGAAATAAAGAAAGAAAGAAAGAAAGAAAGAAAGAAAGAAAAATATAAATAAAGAAAGAAAGAAAGAAAGAAAGGAAGAAAGAAATATATAAAGAAAGAAAGAAAGAAAGAAAGATATAAATAAATAAAGAAAGAAAGAAAGAAATATATAAATAAAGAAAGAAAGAAAGATATAAATAAAGAAAGAAAGAAAGAAAGGAAGGAAGAAAAAATATATAAAGAAAGAAAGAAAGAAAGATAAAAATAAAGAAAGAAAGAAAGAAAGAAAGAAAGCAAGGAAGAAAGAAAGAAATATATAAATAAATAAATAAATAAAGAAAGAAAGAAAGAAAGAAAGAAAGAAAGAAAGAAAGAAAGAAAGAAAGTGCGCGTGCTCATCCTTTTATCAATATCATTAGTATTGTTGTTGTTAATTTTTTTGTCGTGTTTCCATGCGGATTTGATAGAAGTGAATACAATATTTCCGGGCAAAAGAAAAAAAATCACAAAGCCTAAATTTGATACAGAAAAAATATCCTTCAGGAAAATACGTAAACATTTTTCAGCCAACTCCTTGAAAGAAAAAAAAAATTGTTTCAAAAAAAAAAAAGCAAGCAAAAAAAAAAAAAAAGCTTGAAATATATTCGTACATTTTTTTACGCACGTAAGATAAACTGGCAGATGCGCTTTTGCCGTGCAATTAATAACTCTGCTTAAAAAGCTTAATCGGCGAACCGAGTTCAAACCCCGGCCGAGAGTTTTTATGTCCCTTTTGAATAATTGTCCTAATGAAAAGCATTAATCTGTTTCTTTCCTCTCCACCTATGGTTAAAATGGCAGAAGTGGTTAGTCTATCTGACTTTGGATGAAAAACACTCTTAAGGAAAACATGTAACTACAAAATATTTACACTCTTTAAATTATTCGGAATATTGTCCTCATCTTTGTCGCTATATTTATCACAACGTTTCGGCCGTGGTACACTCCTGCCTTCTTCAGGTAGTTGGAATGCCGAACTGAACCCTTTATTTCGCTCACTGGGGTAGACTGTTCTAGTTCCACGTGCCATGTCTAATGGATGTCAGTTATCAGTTATCTCCTGTTAAATCCTCTCTCCAAGTTCTCCACTGCCTTAATCGAGTATTGAACTCACACTCTTTGGGTCCTGTTACTGGATCTAACCAACGCCTTTATCCACCGTGCCATGTGTCATTGAGAAGATTTCGAGTTATGATGATTTTCTAAGCAAAGCTTAGATGTGGCACAAGGCCGAAAGCATGGAGCACCCAGTGAGAATCGTACTCGCTATTCAGTTGAAATTGATCTCGCTAGACAAGCTTGCTTAAGGTGCCAAGGGTTCGAGTTAAGTTCTTAAATAGATTCATCAGCACGAGACTTTCATATGGATGCCTTGCATGGCGCCAAACTCATTTTAAAATATCTGAACTGTCAGTTGTAGACAACCGATCAACTATGCAATTTGACTCATTTTCAACTGATTTTGCTTTCATATTCCAAGCAAGGAACAATAAGGCGAATCTGATTTAAAAAAAAAAAATAATTTTCTACTACAATGACGAAAGATTTTACTTTACAGTCATGTGATATCTTTGGTAACAAAGAAAAGAATACGGAGCTGTTACGTGACATCTGTCCTTCTTTAAGGCAGCAAATGTTGGACGATTTCCTCAAAGATGAAGAAGAGACCCGATGCGACAGAGATGTGGTTCTACAGAAGGACGCTAAGGATATCATGGACCGAGCGTGTGAGCAACGATGATGTCTTAGAGAAGTTGCAAACAAGGAGGAGGCTTATACTTAATATCAGGAAAAGGAAGCTGAAGTTTCTGTGACACATAATGAGGAAGGAGGGTCTGGAGAATCTGATACTCACAGGTCGAATAGAAGGAATGAGAGACAAGGGAAAACAACGGGTGACATACCTGGCGGATTTAAGCAAGTGGATGACAGAACGTGGTATGGGGGAGGAAGCAGACCAAAGGAACTTGCTGAGAGCTGCAAGGGATGGAGGGAGATAGAGAGTCATGATCGCCCACGTCCTGAAAGGACACGGTGCATAAAAAGAAAGAAAGAAGAAAGCTTGTAATTCACACTAAGATTATGATTAAACAATTGTAGTTACATGGCATCATCTGCTTTGTGGCTTACAGTCACGCCACGTTGAAACACCAGTTCTTGTAGGCTCACCGAAGTTAAGCAACGTCGAGTCTGTTCAGTAGCTAGATAGGTGACCGCCTGGGAAGACAAGGTTCTGTAAGCATGGATCTACTGATGGTGTAATGGATGCAGACTGGCAATTGGAAATCGTAAAGTCGGTTTTCATTTCCAGTTTGATTCGTTATATTCACTATTATATCCTCGAAAAAAAAGTATGAGTCCACCTCATCTCCCCCCAGCTGTGAGTTAATTAGTAGGCCTTATATCATTAAATCATTATTATCTACAAAAAATTCTCACAATGCAAAAAAAAAAATTTTCTGGCTTTAAATAACTTGCAAAAGGTTGATAAACCGTAAAAAAAAAAAACAAATCAATCTACCAAGCAGGGCTACTACCTGCTCACTCTCAATAATCTTAGGTATCCCTAGGAGACTTGTGAAGCCAAAAGATTGCTGAAAATAGGGAAAAATAGAGTTGCTACTTGGTATATTTCTCTGTTTTTTTTTTTCATGCCTGGGTTGGTACTTCTGTACTGTCACCTGCTCCGTGCTCACGATGCTTTTAAACCAACCAACGGCAACGTCTTCCCGGTGAAGGGAGAGAGGAGTGTGAACCGGACGATAGACAAACTTATCTACTCCTATTGAGGAAAAAGTAAAGTGCATAAATAGCAGCTAAAATTTCAAAGTTTAAATAGAGACGTTAGAAGAATAGAAGTTTACATTAGAATAAACCAAAAACCTTATCCTAAACAGGAAACAAACGATAAACCTCTACCCCTATTCAAAAGAGTGGACAGGACCATGAAGCGGGAGGTTGATGAACCTCTGAGTATGTGAACGGCGCTCATTAGTACAGTCATTCGTATCTCTGATAATGACGGCTTCTCTAGGATTTCCTTAGTGCGTGTATCAGCATTCATTTTAATCACGCTTCGTGTTTTTCTTCTTCTTATTATTATTATTGTACAAGGGTAGACTGATTAAACTATACGGGGGCTTAATTTTTTTTTTTTTTTTTTTCATTCTTGAGAAATCTTTTCTCCAAAAACAATCAACCTTTCACCATTTCTATGGCTGATGCTGACGCGTATGGTCTTCTGTGATAAAAATGGCCGAGACAGCTTCAACGAAAAAATACCTTGAATCTTCTTAGTAGTGCGTCAATGATGAGCCATATCTGATGCAGCCCACTGGTCGGAGAAGGTTGCCCACGCCTGCTCTAGAAGATTAAAAGCCACTCAAAGGATTAGGTTACTGAATGAAGTTGTTTTATGAACGTAAGAGAAGGAAATAAGAAGTGCAGTTTACAATGATATGCAGGAAAGATATGGGCTAACCTTAGACTTGAAGAGGCTGAGATAGTTGTGGCAAACATCCTCCTGAGATTCTGTTTCACGAAGCAACATTTCTTGAGAAAAAGCTATCAGAGTGGAACTTACTTTTTACTAAACGAAGGGAATGAAGGTGGTACACTGGCCAGTATACGAAATAAATACAATTTAAAAATGAACGTCTAATCAAATACGGGTATTCATTTTAAGTAAATAACTGATTTACCAGTATTTCTATACAGGTAGCGTTTATTATTGTATTGACTTTTGATACTTTTTAAAAGATCTCTTTATCACGTGTATATTTTAGTAGTTAATAAATGCAGTCGTATTACGTTACTATTTATACCATCCATGCTATGGGGAGACAATCGCGTATGTCATTGAATTCTTTCTATAGCTAAGGTCGCTAATCACAGTATCCATCAAAGTAATGGAAAATAACTTACACCGAGTTCCATTGTACTAACCATGACACAGATGTCATTGCGATAGACTTATAATTTGAGACACATTCTTTCCGAAACTCAGGTCGATTTTAAACTCTTCGTGGTATTAAAATAATCCTTTTTCTCCACTTTTCTCCTCTTGAAAATCTGTCAGAAGAAGGCTTCACGTTACAATCAGTGAGATCAGTTTATGTTGACTGCTGTCATATTGAACTTTGCGTCACGAAGGTGGAATGGCAGTCGTTAGTGTCATACTCTGATATTTGGTAGTATATTGTTGAAGAAGAAGAAGAAGAAGAAGAAGAAGAAGAAGAAAAAAAGAAGAAAAAAGTCATAGAAGAAACAAATAAAAAGAAAAAAGATAAAGTAAAAGGCAAGGGAGTGAGAGAAAGAGAAAAATTAGAGAAAATGGAAGATAGTGAAAGAAAAGAATTTTTAAAAGAGAAATAAAAGCAAGAAGAAGAAGAAGAAGGCATAAAAAAGAGAAAAAGACTGAAGAAGAAAAGGAAAGAGAAATGGAGAAAGAAAATAAAAAAAGAAAATGGAAGATAGGAAAAGAAAAGGAATTAAAAGAAGAAGAAATTAAAATAGAAGGTATAAAAGAAAAGAGGAAAAAGAAAAAAGAAGAGGAGATGGAGAAAGAAAATAAAAAAAGAGAAAATGTAAGAGAAAGAAAAGAAATTTGAAAAAAGAATTAAGACAGAAGAAGAAGAAGAAGAAATAAAGAGAGAAGTCATAGAAGAAACGAATAAAAAGAAGAAAGGCTAAAGTAAAAGGCAAAAGAGGGAGAGAAAGAGAAAGAGAAAAATGAGAGAAAATGGAAGATAGTTAAAGAAGAATTTTAAAAGGGAAATAAAAGCAAGAAGAAGAAGAAGAAGAAGAAGAAGAAGAAGAAGAAGAAGAAGAAGAAGAAAGATCACGTAATATTTCCATGTAAGCATTTAATGACATACCTGACTGAAAGGTGAATGAGTAACATTTCGGATACAATTACAACTGCCAATCAAGTGACAGCGCCCAAGATTATATCATGAAAACACCATTATATATATATATGTGTGTGTGTGTGTGTGTGTGTGTGTGTGTGTGTGTGTGTGTGTGTGGGTGGGTGGGAAGAAACTCCCTATTGAAAATTACTTACATCTTTTGTTAATATCAGCGCATTTGTATGAAACAAAATATATTGTAATTTCGAAAGCGGTAGAATTTCATTGCTAAATTCTGTTTTTATTTCAGAATGATAAGTGTAAGCCAGAATGGCCCAACACCTGACATTATATGAGCGTGCTCAGCTCGCAGCATTGTTACGAAGTTTGACAGTCCGTGGTACAAATGCAGAGATGGTGGCCCAGTGTTTATGGATGCCGTGCTTCAGTAGATGTCAAAACCATCAAGAAGTATCATAGCAAGCTGATGAGTACCGGATCTATGGTAGATACCCATACGTGCGTCCCTTTTTCGACACCCAGCTTGAAAGAAAATGTGCAAAGTCTAGAATTATCACTATACTGGAGAATTTTAACACTATAATGTATTTGTATCATTATACTGTTCAAAATAAAACAAGTTTTATGAAAATCGACCAATAATTATTAAAGTTATTAACAAATAAATAGGGATTTTCTTCCCACCCACGCTGAATATATATATAATATTAGTGGAAAATATACATACATAAGTAAAATATATATAAAAAATTCCCATACATGTATATTTTCAGAAAAAAATTTTCCAAGAGGAAGGATCCAGGTAGAACTCAATGTCTAGGACAGTAAGGATATAATAAAAAACTTACAGATATTCCATATAATTGGAAAAATACGCTTCAGTACAAATTCAAAAATAATTTGAATTTGTAATATATTTTATATATATATATATATATATATATATATATATATATATATATATATATATATATAAATGGTAACAAATCCGTTGGTATCCAAGTGGATGCTAGTAATATAAAATATTAAAACTGATCCACAAAAAGAGCTCAATGTATTTATTAATATAAATATATAATATAATTAATAAACAATAAAATCCAAAATTACCTCATATGGGGAATAGACTATTTCAGCAAAGGAATATATCGCCCGTCTGTTTTATCAATTCCGGAGTTGATAAGGCAGACGGCCAATATCTTCGGGGGTTGATAAGACGGACGGCCGATATCTTTGTCTGCCGAAATGGACTATTCCCCATATGAAGTAATTTGGATTTATTTTATCAATTATATATATATATATATATATATATATATATATATATATATATATATATATATATATATATATATATTATATATATATATATATATATATATATATATATATATATATATATAATTATTTATTCGAAAATTATAACATAAATATGTTATAAGATCACTACAAAATAGAGATTTTGTTTCAACACCTCTGGTGTCTTATCAAGTGATGATGTTGAATGTAGAATAAAGGGTTTGAAAGGGTTCAAATCAATTAACCACCCCCCCTCGTAAGGGGAAACGCTGTTACATAAGCTGGAATGACCAATCAAAATACAAGTATACGAGAATTCAAAAAACTTGACAACGAACTAAGGTTATAATTATTTAATGCTTTAATGTTGGGGTTAGACTAAAATAGAATTTATTCTAACTAATAAATATTAAATTATATCGTATAATTTAATAAATATTAAATTATATCGTATAATTTAATATTTATTAGGCCGACGATTGCATCTAGCAAGAAACAGCTTGTTGCCTTTGAGTGTTAAATTTCATGTTCCTTTTTCTATTTATATTTACATATTCTCTATCTCTGATATTGAGTACTTTATCCTAAAAATTTAGCACACCTTAAAATTATATATATATATATATATATATATATATATATATATTAGTTTAAGAAAAAATAGGTAATCCGTATAGGTAAACCTAAGGAGAATAAAATCCAGAGAGCTCAATGTAAATCCAGAGCAAATAATTTAAATAAAAACAGACCACTTTAAGGTTCCATGTTATAGATTATTTCACCACAGCCCTTTTAAAAAGGACTGCGGATCATCAGACTTTACTTCCAAACAAAAAAATGCAAAGCTTGTTTGGAAGTAAAGTCTGATGATCCGCAGTCCTTTAAAAGGGCTGTGGTGAAATAATTTATAACATGGAACCATAAAGTGGTCTGTTTTTATTTAAATTATATATATATATATATATATATATATATATATATATATATATATATATATATATATGCATAATATTTATTAACGATTATGACAAAAACATGGTACAAATCGCTACATAAATGCAATCGTGTT